GTTGCTTGAATCTAATATATAAACATGGATGTTTGTTAGTTGGTTGGTTGGTAAGTGATAAACTTCCACATCGCTCAACAGATCGTGATGAAACTTAACATGTAGAAGTAATTTTTCATAGAAAAGGTTTTTAGGCTATTAATTTTTCTGTAACTCGCCACTGGCGCTGTAGAACATTTTTTTAAAGCACTGTTCTATAACGCTGCGCACGCCTAAGTTCGTTGATTCTGATTCTGTCAAAACATCAGAACAGCAGAGATACAGCATCATAGTACTAATTAGTACTACAACTACCAAATTCTACGCGGGCGAAGCCGCGGGCAACAACTAGTTGTTTATATAATAAAGGTTGCTTGGAATCGGGCTTATGCGAATAATTGTTCTTTGATCATCATTTGAATGGGACTCGTATTCGTTTTGATAACTGTCGCAAATTCCTCGGTTATCGGCATTAATTGTGGTACGCATGATGCTGGTCTGTATACTGGGTTTGTTGTGATTGGGGATTGATATTGTCTGAAGGGTTGTAGGTAATGTCGATACATGAGCTGCCTGTAGGTCTATAGGAGGATTGTCTAAGCACAGGGTATTGTGAAAATCCTCATAGAATAAAATTGTTCTTCCTCATAGTGATTTTCATTTTGAAAATAAGTGTTTTCATCATGAAATGAATTACTTTCTATACTATATTCGTCTTGGTAGTGGTCGACATTACAAAAATATTCGTTTTGGTCAAACTCATTATCGCCATTATAATGAAAATAATGGATTCTCATATTATTATTTGTTGGATTTTGGGTATTTTTCTGAATTACTGCGGGCCTGTTTTGCAATTGAACGTAATTCTGTTGTCTAAATTGATTTGTTTGATTGGGTTGTGTACGTTGTAGTACTTAGTACTTGGAAATTTGGAGTTGATGCTTCCAACATCGTTATTTCGCATCATAGTTTTAATCTTCCTCTTTGAAGATGATCACTTGGTTATCGAAACACCTGTCGAGGTGTTAAAAATAACGATTTGGTGTTGGGAAAAAACTCCAGTAATATTAATCGTTATTGGGTTACTCGCTCGTATTATATGACCTAATTTGGGTTCTAATTTTGAAATTTTTATAATTTGAAGTTTGAACGAGGGTTAAATCAAAATTTCAACTTCAATTTTGATGATAATTCAAAGTGAACTCACGCTTCTCTTCATTCTAGTTTCTTATGCTATTTTTGTTGGTTTCTCGTTGTGGCTTCTGGTTGTTTGGTGTGGCGGGCTGAAATCTTACTTCATGAGCTCTGGCTACGGCAAAATAAGCAGCGTTCGACGACTTACGCGTGTTTCCTGTATTGATTTCTCCACAACGGATGGGCAATGGCGACGACTATGCGGGTTTCTTGTTGCTGAAGAGACCGCCCTGTCCATTGGGGTTGGGGCTTATTGTTCTCCTTGTCGAAAGTCTGGAGACTACCGCTAATTGGATATTATCGTTTTTAAAATCCTACCGACTGCGCCAATTTGTTATGTCTGAAATTGTCTTTTGAAAAATAACTTCATTGAATACAAATCTGAATACAATAAAGAGAGTTACAAAACATGATTCTAGATTCGACGAACATGGATAGTCGCGAAATTATTCAAGAATCTGATTAAATGTTACGAAATATGATTCAAGATACGACGAACGTGGATAGTTGCGATATTATCAAGAATGCTGCGTATTTATAGAATCAGGAGCTGATGATGTAGATCATCGTTTCTTTCATCATTCGAGGAAAACCTTGGAATGTGCTGAATATGCTGAGTCATTTCTTGGGTAACTGTGTGCGTTACATAGTTTTTGATGCAGTATATTATATCTGTCCATGTTTTTTGATATAGCACTTTCTTAGAATTTTGTATGCACTGTCACTCATAATCTTTTCTAGAACAACAATGTTCTTTTTTAGTCAGGCCAAGTCAGTACTTCCCGTTATCATCAGAAATTTCCCGAAACTACGTTCTTCATTTCATTCAACTGTCATGCAACTGATTATTAAAACAATATGAAAGTTAAAACAATCGGTTGGAGATGAGAACCACTACACTTCAGTCAAGTGCATTTATTTAAATGGTTGGACAGCCCACAATAATCTATTAAAGGAAGAATATTTCTATATTAAAAACTTTTTTGAGTTTCACAAAAAAATTTAGGTATATATCCAAATTATCACATATTGAAACTAGCAACTTACCTGCAGGACTCCTGGTCGCCAAAAAGGCTCCTTCAACTCAACACTTTCCATCACTGACCTGTTTTACTGAACTGGTGAGATCAAAATGAGATTGTTCGGTAGAACTGATGATCACGTGTTACTTCAACCATTTTGGATATTACACCAGGAAGCATATAATTTAGATATGATATGATAGGATTCCAATAATATATACTTATAAATACGAAAGTCATTCACTTAACACTCACTCATTCATCCAAGTTTCTCCGAATTGGTAAGTCCTAGAAAGCTAAAATTTAGTATAAAGGTGCTTCTTAGGTCTTAGATGCCCACTAAGAAATGATTTTCAAATATTCCAACTGAACCGCCCCTCGTGAGGGTAAAAGGAAGGCGTTTACTGGAATCAATGAAGTCGCACCGGAGAGCACATTAATTTTTGTTGTTGTTTTATAATTTCATGATTTGTATTTTGGAAGTGTTATTACACCACTTATTGTGCATTTTCATCAATGTTTCTCCATACTTCTATATTTTCGGAGGCTGAAATTTTGTATATAGGTTCATTTTATGTTGTAGATGTGCAATAAGAAAGGATTTTTTTGAATATTTCAACTGGGACGCAAAAGGCGCGTTCATAAAATGAAGTTGCCTTTTCATCACTGTTTCTCCATACCGGTTTTTTGGGAGGCTGAAATTTTATATGTAGTGTAGGCTCGTTTTGTATTGTAGATGTGCAATAAGAAAGGATTTTTGAATATTTCAACTGAAGAGTCAGCCGCGGAAAAAAGGCGCGTCCTTAAAACAATTTTTTCTTTATTACTGTTTCTCCATACCGGTATATTTTCGGAGGCCGATATTTTGTATGTAGGTTTGTTTTATGTTACAGATGTGCAAAAAAAAGAATATTTGAATATTTCAAGTGAAACGCTAGCCAGGCAAAAAGGCGCGTGTATAAAATTATCTTTAATATATTCTTTATCTTATCTGGCCATAATGTGATCAATATTGCCTCTTACAGCATGTAATTTGAATGAATATTCTCGAAGATATTACAGATTTAAAATGCAGAGACATAGCGGTTCCGGACTAATTATATGTCACCTTTTCGAGGGTAACCTCTGAAGAAAACATGTTTGTATTGTCTACTGACAAAAAAAGATGTGGACGTTGTAAATAAAGACATTCTGTAGTATATTCAGTATCACTATGTCGAGTGAAATTTCGAAAAGTACGAACTAACTATTTTTGCCATGTTTATAAAGTACGGTAATCTGATAAGACGACGAACGAAATAAATCTGTTTCTGTTTAAAATTTGTCTGTTTAAAATCTGTTTTTCCGTTAATCAGCTGTCGCCCCCATACGAACGACAATTCTCAGAAGTTGAGAAACTTGTGCGAGCTAAGGACTAACGAGGTCTTACCTTTTAACGTGTGATTCCTAACACGGTTGCAGAATCATCCAAGCTTCAACCTGATAAATTCTCTCGAGAAAAATATCTGGTCGAGGCAGGAATCGAACCCACGGTCTTCCGATCGTGAGTCGGGCGCAGTACCACCGCGGCCAATTCCATAATTACCAATACATAATTGTTTATTCCTATATAGCATATCAACGACAGTGATTTGGAATTGTTCGCCTAAGACTGTGTTTCTTAATAGAAAACATCTTCAAATCACATACTTTTATTTCAAAAAATATTTTTTTCTGTTAACCAACTGTCGCTTCCCTACGAACGACAGCTCTCAAAAGTCGATACTTGTCCGAGATGAGGAATAACTAAGTCTTACTTTTTACCGTGCGATCCCTGCCATGTTATATACTATACCGCGAGTAGACTAGGTGAAAATGATTCAACGATTTCAAACCATTCATTGGGATGCAACCACAAGTTCCCGAATCATGAAGATACGGAGACTTCGAACTATGCAGGCAAGGATTGGAGACTCAATTATTTGGAATCCTTGGAAGGGATCAACATGTGTGTCCCCTTTAAGTTTCACGGCGATTTAATCGTTACCCACGGTGTGTAAAAGAATTTCGAAAAAATTAACATATGAATACAAATTTACGTTATTCTATGTATGTATATATTGATGATATTTGATATATACTACGAAATTATTATGGTTAATATTTTCTTAGATCGCCAATATCTTTCAACATCTACAAGCGGTGATAATGGGGACTTCATAGTCCCCATGGGGTAATAATGGAGGCATTATTACCCCTGTGGGGACTGTGAAGTATAATTAACGAAATCATTTGACTTACCTGAAAGAAAATTTAATTATTACACGAACAATCCTCTCCTAAAGTATTACCATCCTTCTCAGGGAAGTGGGTTTTCCTTGTGCCCTTCCGATGGCGACCTAGTACTTTCAAGTGTACCATTTCGCTTTTAGACTTTCAACTGTTGTATGAATATGTCCAATGACAGTACTTCAAGTGGTCATGATTTTGGAGAGGATTGTTAGAATAATGAACATCAAATTTCCTTCAAGTAAACCATTTGATTTTGTTGATTTTTATTACCTAAACTAAGCTAATCAGAGTCGAATTTCTGATAATTTCAAACTTTGAAGTAAGTCTATGAAATGAGTTCTAACTTACAAATTCTGAATTTATATTCATGAATAGTGGATCATAATATGTTACTTGTATACCTTTTCAAAGAATAGTACAATAATTGAAAAAAAAACAATTAGTTTCCAAGTTTTTCAAAACTATATGTATTATAAGCAAGATTCAAATGAAAACAGTCTTGAATGAGGTTGTCTACACTGAAGTAGAAAAAACTAATCATTTTTTTTTGTTTATTGCATGGATTTGTATTTGAATTTTATATTTCAGCAAGGGCTGGAAAGGTTAGGTGATATGAAAGTTCAGCAATGGACTAAAAAACTACTTACATTAGTATAAAATGGTGATTGTTTGAGTTGGGCATTAGCCAAGAAAGGATCATAATCATCCACTGTAGAGTCGCTCCAATATACCCTGGCTTCATGCAGATGTTTCTAATAAGAAAGATCCCAAAAAGACACCATAAAAGCAGAGTGATGTGAAAAGATTCGCACAATAATTATTATAATGGTTAAAATACACGAAATTTACTAAACTGATCAGAAGCAAGATTAAACTGAAAGCTAGTCATGCAATCAATGTACTCCACAAGAAAAAGGAAGAGTTTTCAGCTTACATTATCATTTTGCATACCTGAACAGTTGTACTCTGGTCTGAAAACGGACTACTGAAAAATGTGGTAATGATGTTCATTACACAATTGGTGACATAATTTTCCAATGATTTATCTGAATGTTTTCTGTCAGCAGGTGATGTTGCTATGTCTGCCATGTCCACCAGAAAAGATTTTTCAAAAAGTGTCCACATGTGACTAGAGTTATATATTTCTTTCATCTCCACTTCAGTATCAATATAACAATGATTCAAAAATCCAACATAAGCTTCTTTGACTTCCGGAATGCAATAAGGATGAATTACCATTGTGACAATATCATCTAAAGGCAACAAACTGTGGCATTTTATTTCAGTATATACATTTTTACCCATTGTACAACAAGTGAGGAGTTTAACTAACTCTATATGGTATTTCAGTGGGCTTCCTTCATCCATGCAATGTCGTTCAGATTTCATCATTTCTATGAAGTGGTTAAAAGAAGCTTTGTCATTGTAAAATACCAAAACGTCTTCTCCAGCATTGATCAACTAGAAAAAAAAGTATAACTATTCAATAATTGATGCAACATAAAATAATTACTGCTTGCATAACCATGTCTTGACATTTTCGGATAAACTTGTTTTCAGCTTTCACTATGGTTTGTAAAAATCGCAAATATTGTACAAGCCTGCCATGTGTCGCAATGCAGTGCACAAAATGCTGAATCACTTTCTCATTCTCTTCATTGCATAATTTCGAGTTATCTTGAAATATTGCACAAACTGTTTGTGCTTCTCTTATCTGGAAAAAATCAAACTAATAAAGATCTTAATTCATTGATATATCAGTCAACTGAAATTCTGAAATTTTTAATAATAGCATTTGTGTTATCAAATTTAGATATGTTGAGGCTTTTAGAACTGAATTCAAAATATTGAACAGACCAATTACCGTGGGTTGTTTTCAGTAGAAAATATTATTGTACATAAGGGAGATAAATCATTAAGAACTAACAATTCAGTTATGAGTGAACACGCCTATTATATTATGTGAACTCCTAACGGCCTGGCCACGGGAATAGGCGGTCTTTATCGAATTCATTTCGAATTTGCTTGGAAAGTAATAGTTTTTTGGTTCAAGACCTAATATTTGTAAGAGATTGTGGAGTGCATGATTTGAATAAGAATCGGGGTGTAGATGGAGAATTCCACAAGAAGTACGAGAAATACAGATTATATCCAGAACAATTTTTTGAGTATACCAGGATGAGTATTGAAACCTTCGATTATATTCTTATGAATATTCAACCAGAATTGGAGTAAAAACTCAATGCAAATAGAATTTTCAGTGCTGCTGAAAAATTGTTTTTGACATTAAGGTATGTACTTACCTATCTATACACATCACAATCTACATTACATATTCATCTATATACCTATGTATAGAGGTAATATTCAATTAGCTGATCATATTTTGGAGAATTACCTATAGTATGAACAATACCATCGGTATGAACAACTTTTCCCAAGAAACTAATGGTCGCAAACGGATTTTTTTATAACAAAATTTATTTGGAACTATCTTTGCCCAAAATATCATCAGCTAATTAAATGTTACCCTGTATATTAATATTTAATGAAATAAAAACAATTTCAGATAATTATGTTATTTATTGCAAAAATCTAAATTAAATGACAGTAATGTTTCGTACAACTAAAACAAAAAACAACTTCTAACTTGTAATTGACGGTAGAATGAATAATGAATTTCTAACTTTTTAATCAGTCTTCCAAATAGATGGTCTAGTTAGTATTTCAGCAATAAAAGTCTCGGTTTTCATTTTTCGCAACGAAAACAACTAAACTCGTTGGATCACTGCAGTATTCGCCGCGACTGCCGCTCGACTCCGTGGCTCGCGCCGTACCGATTCATGTATTTGTTTTACTCGCCCGTTGCGCCGCAAGTCGCCCACGCGGTTCGCTGTTACAGCCTGGCCACGGGACACTCGCCAGATTAGGACACTTTCCAGATTAGATTCCAAATAAATTTAGTTATAAAAAAATCCGTTTGCGATCATTTCTTTCTTGGGAAAAGTTGTTCATACTGATGGTATTGTTCATACTATAGGTAATTCTCCAAAATATGATCAGCTAATTAAATATAACCTCTATACATAGGTATATAGATGAATACGTAATGTAGATTAATATAGATGAAAAAATGCAAAAAAATAAAAAGATATCAAACCAATTTCACGTTTTGATTGGTACTATCCACAACCTTCTTCGGATGATAAGAAGACACTTTGTTTGGATACAAACAATCCAAACGCCGAAATGCAACTTGATCTGAAATATTTTTTTTATTTTCCATGTTTTTGCATTTTTCATAATTTATCTTGATTATTTTATTTTTTTGTTCAATTTTTTTTGTTTGTATATATTTGACATTTCATGTAATTATCCATTTGATAATACATTTCCATTTCAGATCACAATAATTTGTCTGTTTCACGTCTACTTACATTTCTTAAATTTAAGCATTGACGTATTCATTAAATTGATAAATGACATCTCTAAATCGGTAATCTCTCCTGAAATGGAAAAACCGTGAAAGTAAACCTGTCTTTAAAGGTGGAGATAACAAATTTAGATTAAATTATACCTAAGCCAATTATTGAAGTATGGCCATTATTCAAGAAATATTTTATTGTGAGATTTTCAGTAAACAGTTTTGCAAGAACGTAACACATGTTTCGCTATACAATAGCTTATTCAGGCGTGTATAGACAGGCAATAATCTAACAATAAAGTATATGTTGAATACGTATTCTCATCAAGTACCGGTCGATTCCATCACATAACATATGTATGGTCACTCTCAAAAATCTTTTAATCTTCAATAAAGATAAGAACTTGGGATTCATTACTAGGTATGTGGGTCTTGATGAATATCGGTAAGCATTATTTTGTTTAGCCCAACAGATTTTTTTTCCATATAACACATGAATTAGATAACAAAAATCTAGCATTTGATGCTGTTGATCATAATGGCCTTCTAAACAAGTCATGTCATATGATATTATATTTTTACATATGACAATAGTTAAACTTACAATTATGTCAACGCTATTTTTCGGGTTTGTGGGCCGTGGCCTGGAGGTTTTTTTTGAGTAACCACTTCAGTGGTTTGAGTCAGATATCAATGATCGCAGTGAAATAGTAAAACCAACTGAAACTGCAAATTAGTGATACAATAAATACCGGATACCAAAAGAATTAGTTCGGAGTCCAATTTTGTTTTTATTATATAATAACGACTAGGTGAATATCAATATATCTAGTGAATTTCTTTTCGTTTATGAGATCACGATATTTTGTCAATGCAAAAGTGTGAATATATTGAATGACAGAACAACTCATGGCACTACTCAAACTGTAGTTTGAGTTAAGCTATGAAGATGAAAACACAGTTTGCAATAGAAAGCGCTCGCATATAATAGAAGTTATTGAAGCTT